TCCTCGGCCCTCCCCTCCAGAGGATCCCCCCCTCCCCTCAGTTGGAGGAGAGAGCGGGTCACCCTGAAGAGGGCGGCCGGGCGATTATCTGATGACGCGATGAGCGAGGAATAGTAGTTAGCCCTAGCCACCCTCATCGCCACTAGGTAGGATCTAACATGTATCCTAACCCGTGTTCGGTCGGGTTCGGTTCGGCTAGTCCTCCAACAGCTCTCTAGGCATCTTTTCCGACGTTTCATCTCTCTCAGCTCCTCGGTAAACCAGGGAGCCAATCGAGATCTATGTCGGGTCAGAGGCCGCAAAGGCACGACTCGGTCCAATGCTGCGGCGGCAGTATTGTTATCTCAGGTTATTCTGGCCTCAAACCAAACAAGATAGATCTTTCTTCCTTCTACTAAAAAGACCATTGTTTCTTTAAGATGGGAGTGGGGTATGCAATCTTGGAGTGGTTGTAGTAACTATCTGGGAAAGGTTGAAGGCCACTATGGGTAAGACAGGAATGAATATGCGTAAATCATCTGATGAGTTGGAACCTTTTGAGGAGAGTGGTGCTTTGTGGCTTGTGGAAGGTTTAATCCTATTTTAGTCCTAACACTGTTGTTTTATAACTTCTTATTATTAGATGTATGTGAATTTTATTTTATGTGCATCCATTATGCTGCAGATGTGCCCCATTTTAGTGGATATAGCTGAAATATCAATGCTCAATATGATATAATAATTTTACCTTTTTCTGTGTTGATTTTGGTTTTTAGCTTTTTTCTATACTATTAGGTATTAACACTACATCATATGGTTCTGTGTAACTCTATATTATCCTTAAAGTTCCATAAGTATATTTGTGTCAGTGATTCTAAATTTTAGTTGATTGACTGAGTGAAACAGTGGGAAAGCCACAATTACACTGTCATTATCACATAGAATTGTCATATTTCTGCCCTTCCATTTTAAATGTCTGCTGGCCTGACTGATACAAAGTAAGTTAAAATAACCTGGTTTATTTGCTGGTAAAGTGCTGCTTCTTTGCTATATAAAAAAAAAGGATTTGTCAAGGAGGAAAAGATGTGCTTATATGGTATAAACCCTACTTCTGTGTAAAGAGAGATTTATCCTTAGCCATTTATTTCAATTGTACTTTAAGGAATGATGTTGATAGCATAAACTGTTACTGTGTGAAGAATAAACTCGCAAATCCATTTGAGGTGTCTCTTGATGAGGCCAGAGATATTTTCTATTGCAGAAATCCTGAGGGGATTCACAATCCTAGGAATTTTTATTAGTATGGTAAGAACCTAGCAAGTCCAGACTTGTTTGTTTGTTTTATATTCATTTAATTTGAATCGCCTGGCACTGTGCTGTGTGACAAAAACTGAAAGTGCTCTATGATAAAAATGGAAGTTGCTCTCTAGTAGACTAGTATACATAAAATATTTGGACTGTTTGATTTTTTTTAACAACAAAAAGAAACCTTTCACCTGCCACATAATTTCTTGCTGCCAAATCAGTTACCAGTATGTAGGAGGGGAAAAGAAGCATTTGTGTCAACAGATTCCATGCAGTGGAAAATGCCTGATGTACTTTTCATTTCTTTTACATATCTTTCAGAACACAACTTTAACAATAACAGTAATATTACATCTTGTAGTGAGACTTTTGGCAAACTCTGTCTAGATGGATTACTGACCTAGTTCAAGATAGTTGGTTGAAAGAAAATCCTGGAATGTACATGTGCAAAACAGTCCTTCATGTTTAACTTTGTGTGAGATAACTAGGAAGAATGTAACTGTCTTTTATTACTGTCTTTATTTGCATTTCCAATACTGCAACATAGAGACAAAGGCTTTGAATTGGCTTTTTTCTGCTTAAACCTATTATAGGTATTTGTACTGCTCATACAATACCAGTTGTACTTCTGAAAATCAATAAGCATTTTGGAAGCTTTATTTTGATAACTCAGCAACTAATCTTGTTCCAATCTCCCATATTTCTATCTCTATCTCACTCTTTATGTGTGTAAAACTGAAGTTTATAAACTTATCAAACTAAATGATATACAAAAACCCAAAGTTCTGCTATGAATCTAATCCTTTAGCATGAAAGATTTTTAGTACAATTTACTTTCTTACGTTCTGGGTTCATGTTACAATAAAGAGAGAATATATAATGTGCTTTGTCCCTCTGAGGGACAACATTCTGCATATGAATCAGTATATAAAGAAACATTTGTAGATTGAATTGGCTTCCTTTACAGTAGAAGATAAGTATTTCTACATCTCTTTATGAGACTGTAATTACTTTATGATTATTAGTGATATTTCATTATGTGGCTGACAGAATACAACCTTTCTGTTGTACATGGAAATTCAGTGTACAACATTGAATTCAAAATTCAATCTGAATATGGTATATAGATAATTTTTGGTTTATTGTTCCTGGCATGATTAATACAATGTTTTATTTCTTTTCTCTCTTATAACGTTACACTTTTGCTGTGTCTGCTTTGAATTCTAGTTAACTGCTTGTGTTCATGGATCAGCTGCATTGCTATATCCAATGTACTGGCAGCATATATACATCCCGGTGCTCCCACCACATCTCCTGGATTATTGCTGGTAAGAGGCTAAATATGTATTATTCTTTATCTCTCTAATAATTAAACAAGACAATATGTTGTTGCCTTTTAATTAAATAAATAGGATCATTTGAACATTAAATCCAGTTGTAGTAGTACAGACTCTAACTAAAAACATGCCATCTTTGGCACTGCTTTATACAGATAAAAATATCTGAAACTGTACTTCTGCAGGACTAAGATATGAAACATGACTTATATGACTCACACGGCTTATTTTTACAACACTAGGTTTTAAACGTTGGTGAATTACAGACATGAGACAAAATCCAAAATTTAGTATTATCTTTCTTTTTTATATGTTCCAAATGGATGTAGAGATACCATTGTGGCTCAGAATGTTTCTCTGTTGAGAGGAAGTAATTAAAAGGTCTTGTACAGACTCATTGAATGCTATTAGATTTCATAATTACTAATATTTATTATTATTAAATTTATTTGCCACCTGTCTCGCCATGGGGCTACTCTAGGCAGTTTACAACAATAAAAAATGAAGAAATAAAAGGAAACTTTAAACAAAGTGAAAACAAAGAAAATAAACAAAAAGAAAACAAAGAAAATACATCAATATGACTGGTAAAAAAAGAGGGATGAATGGGGAACAGACAGTGGGAGGAGAAGTGGATCTAGGAGCCACCTCCAGAGTAGAACTCCCCAATTGCTAATCATTACTAATTTAACATTGCTAATCATTACTAATATAGATATTTTGTGTGTGCTACATATGGTATTTCACAGCTTCTTTCACATCTTTTAATATGTTACCATGCAAGCACAAAATAGATCTATAATTTAAATAGCTCAAATGCTTCCAAGATTCTACAACATCTTCCTAACCATAGTTTATCTAGATTTCTTATAAGTTAATATACTTGTCCCAGTCAAGAAAGCAATGATTTAAAAGGCTTAAAAATAATTAAAATCAAAGGACAGAGAGAGAACTTCAAAATAACATAGCTGGAAAAAGGCGCATCCCCCTTCCAGGATGAAATAATTTCATTCATTGCTATATCCAATGTACTGGCAGCACATAAATATTCTGGTGCAAAAGTATACACAGTAAAATTTTAAGGTTTCAGAAAAGCTGAAATGTTTTTTTGACAGAACCAGTATCCAATCATATAGCATTATTTTATAGGTATAATGAGGAGAAACTAGTGAGCCTCAGACCAGAGAAAATTTTATGTAAATACTGAGTAGATGTGTCTAACTTTCAGGGCTAGAAAAAGAATGACCAAAAGTCTGTTGACTTGAAAATATTTGTGGCCTTGTGGAAAAGCCTAGAATTTAAACCCTAGATTTATAGACAGCTTCATTTCTCTTGTTTATATGGAGTAAAGCAACTTATCAAGTTGTGTCATGTGTTGAAGGTTCTGCTTAGTTACTGACTGGAGATTTAAGATTTATTTTGGTACCAAAAGTACCAAAACATCTGAAAGATTTTGGATTTGCTTAATTTTTAAACAAGAACAAACAATACTAATAACCTTTTGGTATATTTTCTTACCAATAACACTATGTGTTTCACAATGAAGCATCTGTTTTAAGAATTCTATTAACATTCTTAAAAGATTACAGAATTTTACTTAAAGCTATATAATGATTCGTTATGAAATTCTCCCTGTTTTTATTGTAGAACATTTTTCACAATAAAAATCATAATATTTTTCTAGTTCATGCTTTATGTAAGATAACCAATTATTTTAGGAAAATGATGGACTGGATTAAAATATATATTTCATAAGTTGATAAGTGATTCCCAGAAGAAGAACATCCGTGTGTCTTAATTGTCATTATTTTTTCTCCTTTTAAGTGCCTGACACGTTCTTTAATTATATAAATTACTAATCAGAAACTGTTTATGCCAAGCTTTCCCCAGTATTACTTTTCTATAAAATATGAAGAAAAAACTGCAAGCATTGTTTTTAAATAAAAAAAACTGCATTTTGATTTTAATGCGAGATAATATGTCATTGTACTTTGGACATACTTCAAATAGTACCCAGTGGTTTTGAATAAATGCTGTGTTACTAAAAGTATATGCACATTCAAGAGAGTTAATGGAGTAATATAACTTAAAATTTTAATTACAATTGAATGAAAAAAGGCTCACCAAATTAATATATCAACACAACTACTTCAAAAGTCTATAATGGCAGACAATATGTATCAATAATGCATTGTTGTAAATGGGATATAGATTTGTACTTCAGTGTTAAATGTTAATTCTGGAACATAGGCCAGAAAATTCAGATTTCCTGAGAACCTAATAGATTTGAAATACTGTGTATATTACTAAGAAGTACATCCTTAATGCAAAGCAGTTAATACAAGTCATAGTGACAATCCTATTGATATGATCCTCAAATATGTTGATAATAAAGTAAAACCGGACTGTATAGATTAATGTTCCAATTTCTGAATAGCATCCCCAATAGCAATATATTTGGTACTCATCATTTAGTAAACATTCCCTGAGATAGCCAATATACATGAAGCAATTTTTGTTGACGTAGTACCAAACATATTTTAAGATTATAGGAATCTAATTTTACCGTATTTAAACTGCCCATAAATTGACTTATCAAGGCAGGACACTGAAGATGGTTATTCCAAAGGTTACATAAATAACTAATACCAATTTGTTTTAAAATATTTATTGGTTCAAGAACTGTATTTAATTGGAGTGTTTGCTTTGCAAACAGAAGAGAGAAAAAAATTGAGAGTCTTCTTAGAGGGGTGTTTTATTAAATTTTTAGGGGGTTCGGGGTTGGCCCGAGGGGACTTGGGGGAGCCCTCTCTGAGGCCAAGGCCAGTCCAGTCTGAGGGGCGCAGAACGGTGAGGGAGGAGACTGGGGGGTTAATAGAGGGTGGTGTGATTAGTACGGTCAGTGGGAGGGGCAGATATGGCGGGAGCAGAGGACCATATCGGGTTTTGGGAGCACGCACACGCTGCTTACAAGCTTGCGGGTGCTCCGATCCTCAGGGCTCTACTCGGTCTCCAGGGACTTCAGATCCTCGGGCCCGGGATCATCGGCTGATGTTATGCAACGCCAGGTCCGTGGTAAATAAGGCCCCCCTCATTCAAGAGCTTATTCAAGAGGGGGGAGCGGACCTGGCAGGTATCACCGAGACCTGGCTGGGCATGGAAGGGGGAGTTCCCCTTGTTGATCTATGCCTGCCGGGTTTCCAGGCATTCCATCAACCGAGGGCCCGGGGTAGGGGCGGTGGGGTAGCGGTCATTATAAGGGA